GAAGGAGCCGCTCCGGAGGGGATGTGGTGAATAACGGGCCGTGGTGAATAATAGAGTCGCACAGAATCACACACTGGGTCAGGTTGGAAGGGTGGGTCATCTGTTCCCACCTCCCTGCTCGAGCAGGGTCATCCCAGAGCACGTGGTGCAGGGTTGTGTCCAAACAGTACTGGAATGTCGCCGGTGAGGGAGACTCCACACCTCTGGGCAATCTGTCACTCGCAAAGGAAAGTTCTTTCTCGTGTTCATGTGGAACTTCCTGGGCACCAGTTCCTGCCCGTTGCCTCCTGTTCCATTGCTGGGCACCCCCGAGCAGAGCCTGGTCCATGCTCTGACCCCTCCCTGCAGACACTGACAGACATTGTTCAGGTCCCCTCTCAGTGTCTCCTCTCGAGGCTGAACAGCCCCAGCTCCCTCAGCCTTTTCTCGTAAGGAAGATGCTCCATCCCTTCATCATCTCCGCAGCCTCTGCTGTACCCGCTCTGGGAGCTCCATGTCTCTCCTGTCCTCAGGAGCCCAGAACTGGACACAGCACTACCCATAACACATACTGTGTTCCCGTAGTGCTGCTGGGACTGCATATCTTATAATTCTTTGGGCAGTGAAATGTCCCGCTGAGCACTGTGGGAAGCATGCAAAGGTGGTTCATTAGTGGCTGAGGGCAAACGGGGGGCCCTTGGTAAAAAAAGGTGCAAAGCAGCACCTCCCCTGACACCCGGGAGAACCAATGGTCACTCCAGGACTGCAGTGGGCTTGGAATCACAAAACCACAGAATCCTTTAGGTTGGAAAAGACCTCCAAGATCATCGAGTCCAACATGTGATGGATCCCCACCTTGTCAACTAGGCAGGAGCACTGAGTGCCACGTCCAGTCTTTCCTGGAGCACCTCCAGGGATGGGGACTCCACCACCTCCCTGGGCAGCCCCTTCCAATGCCTGACAGCCCTTTCAGTGAAGAAATTCTGAACCTCCCCTGGCACAGCTTGTGGCTGTTTCCTCTCGTCCTGTCCTTGTTCCCTTAGGTTCCCGAACCCCACCTGGCCCCACGCTCCTGTCAGGGAGCTGAAGAGAGCAAGTTCTCCCCTGAGAAGCTCCAGGTTTACACCCAATACCCTCCTGAGGTTTCTGGGTGGACAGACCCAGAGCGACATTGGCCATGAGCAAGGGGGGGGGGGACACATGACGTCCCTTCTGTTCTTCCAAAATAAGATGTAGGGCAATGGCCCTTTGCTTTTTCCACAAACTCCTCCCCTGGTGCTGTGTCCTCCCTCTCCTGCTCTCAGACCGTTTGGATAAAGGTGTTGGAGACCATTTTCACAGAGGCTGCAGGAAGCCAGTTGGACGACCCGTCCAGATTCTCTTGCTGGACCACCACGCTGATCCACCAGCCTCAAGAGGCAGCTTTTGGCATGAGAAAGGAAAAACAAGTTCTTTTCTTCCCTCTCAACTTCCAAAGGAAAGTTTCTGAAAATACCAGAAGACCAAAGGCACTTACTTCAAGAGAGCTGATTCCATTCGCTATCACTCAACACACACAATAATTCAAGACATTATTTCCTCCACAATTTTTATTTTAAATTACAAAGGATGTTGCATACATTGATGAATTTGTATCTGAATAGAAGTGCTAGGGATCAAAGGTGACAGAGTAAACAAAGTCAATAGTTTAATTGTGCCTCTTTTCAAAAAAATAAAACTGCACAACTATTAACCAACATTAAACATTGCAACTCTTAACAGATCATGCTTTGAACAAGGTAAATTTATTTTCTAACAGAGACAAGACTTTTAGTAAGTTTTTCTGAGCTCCAGTTGGAAGTTGATTATAGAATATCAAGGACAGCATTACAATCATGACCCCAAGCATAGGTGGAACAGGATGCCATGTTTCATTTAAAATGCCTTTTTTTTTTTTGCATCTGCATGTGCCATCAGCCTTAAGAATTCACCCAACCACAAATACTGAGCAATAAGTTTTCCTTGGACATAATATTCTTGGAGAATACACTATTCCAATCAGAATGTATGAATATTGATCATTATGAGAAAGATTAATAAAATTAAGTTTTACTACTAGATTCTCTTTCCCAATCAGATTTTGATAGGGTGGAACGTGCTTTTGCCAATACCAAATCCAATACTGAAGTTTTCCCTATAGGAGCTAGTTAAGTCACCCAAATTTGACTTACAAAGACAACCAACCATGAAATATTTTTAACTCCAGAAAAACTCTGAATAAAGATGTTATCTAAAAGGTTGGAGTTGTATTTCTTTTTTTTTTTTTGGGGGGGTGTGGAAGGGGGAAGAAAAAGTGTGGCTTAAAATACCTCTGGCTCCACAGCTCCTTAGAAAGACAGTAAATGCAGAGTCAGTATTTGCTCCCGTGGAAGTCCATGAATGTCTAAGAGGCTGAGGGTTATAATTCAGAATGCACACACACAACTTCTAAAAGCATTGGGGGGAAAAACATGGCATATTGTGAAATGTAAATAGTAGAAAGATAGAGACATTTTTGTATGCTGCAAAGAAGATACAACCTAAAAAGTGCCATCTTTCATTAATGACATTTAAGAATCCCAATTTACACTGGGAGATATTCAAAAGTGGTGTTTTCTCAACATACTAATGCCCTTAATACAGTTACAAGAAGGATCAGTCACTGAGTAACTGTTTGAAATGTACTTCACACGTTCCCTGGGGTAAACAAAATAAACCTCAGCTGTGTGCAAGGCTGTGTCAATAAGCCAAGACCACATCTAGCAGCACACTTCACTAGGTGATTCCAACTGAAGCCTCCAACTTAAAAAGAAAATAAAGTCATGATTAGATGTACTCTTGAAACTCAGGTCTCAAAGCCAAATACAGATCCTGACATTCACGGTCCATAAACGGGTTGTGCCTCAACAGAATTTCAGGAAGACAAGCAAGCACGTTTGAGGAACAGAATTGCACTTGCTATTTCTGCTGAAGGCAACTTGTACACAACCCTTGGAAATTCTCCTGATAAACCTTTTTAGAGCTTTTAAAAAAATAGCTATGTTTAAATGGTTTATGGAAAAGAAAAGCACATCCAGTCATTATAGTTGATGAATAAGCTAACTGTTTTATTAATGAAGGCAAATATCAGATAAATACAGGGGGGTCTTTTAAAAATAAAATTAAAACTGACACCACTGTATTTCAGAAGTGTCTGGTTGCTTTTAAGTTAGTTAAAAGACCTTTCATCCATTTTAGGTTGGTGTTTTGTTTGTTTGTTTTCTAAAAAAACAAACTTTTCTCTGGCCCTCTTAGTATGGAAAAAAGTCAATCTATAAAGAATTAGGAACTGAACACAGCTGAGCCTGACTCTCACATCAGCTTTACAGCAATGCAACTTTATTAAATCACACTGATTTCAACTGGTATGATAAGAAAATCCAGCCCATCCACACGTAAACATAGCTTTAGTAGTAAGTCTCTCTCATCCAAAAAAGAAAAGTACTCACCAAGTATCAGTAAATGTGTTCAATAAACCAGAAAAGGAAGTGTTAGCAAAAGGGGTTTCGGGCTAAAAAACACCCTTCGTGAGCACCCCCACATTTTGCAAGGCCATTCAAAAACTGGTCTTCCATATAAATACAAAAGGACTAGTGAGAGAAACTGAAATCAGACCTATCCGCGCTCTCTTCAGCTCTGATTCCATTTCAGAGGGTTTGACAACTTCAGAGGGAATGAAAAACATTTAGTTCTAGATGTACAAGTAAGGCACAATATAAAGCCACATCATCATCTGTCATGAAGGAAGTGGGGAAGGACGAGGGTCATACATGGTACAGCAGAACAAGCAGCCCATCGATTCCAAGTGTGGCACCTACGTTCAGACTGACGAGATCTCGACAAGAGCAGTTATGACAGCATGCTTTTAATATGGAAACAAATCCTAGAGAATCCAGTGTATCAGAAAAAGGAAGAGCTTTTGTTTGTATTAAATCAAAAAATATATCATTGTTTTTGGATATAGGATTAAAAGTGAATATTCACAATGCCTACACTCAAAAACAAACAAAAAAACCCAGGACTTCGTTAAGATCCACATACCATGTATGAACACTGAAAATCTTTAGAAAATGGTCTTCTCTAAAGATCACCCAAAAAACGCATGCCACAATTGCCAAAAAACAGAACATGTACATTTGTTGGTTTTTATACCCTTATAAGATTTTTGTTTGTGATAAGTATACACTAAATGTATATATTTTAATGACACTAGAGGAAGCAGATTGTTACTGGCATTAAAGTACAACCATTTCTAGACGGTTTAAATGCCACAGAGTCCCCTGGTT